CGAGCATTTCCGTCCGTATTCAACAATCCAATCCACACTGCGTTTTCGCACGAATTCGCAAACATACCCACGAAGCATCGCATGCGTAAGATAGGTGTCACTGTCTCCTAAGTAGGATCAGCGCATGACAGGCAAGTGCAGATCATGGGCTCATTTCTCTCGTCCATCGGGTACGACAACATCAGTCAGTTGTCATGGCCAAACGGCGCGGCCATCCTTCTCAGGAATGAGGTATAGACGGATCTGTTGAGTTGGTTTTAGCGCGAAGCCGTGAAACAAGCGCCCGGAAAAGTATAATTGATGAGATCGATGTAAGCTCAATTGATATCGGAACCTTTTTTGTGCTACCAGAAGGTGACAGTGAACTACCAACTACCCCTATGGCGGCGCCATAAAGGCTAATCCTCCATTCAACCGTGATCATTTGCAAGCAGCATGAGTTTAACAAACTTGTCGACCGCCATTCCAGGAGAGACTACTGGTTAGGCCACACCATATCTGATTACCAAACATATATCGTTTTAAGCTTCCTCCAGAAAACTTCACATACAGTTTGCTAATCTCCAACATTGGATAAAATTCGTCAGCGGAAATAGCCATGTGCCTGGTCCGATGAGACTACAAAAGATATGGTGGAATCACAGAGAACTAAAGGGCGGACAAGAAACACCACACTCGAACTGGCGCTTTGCTTTGTCCCGAACGGCACCAGTCAGATTCATATGCCTCTGTCCACTCTCCCCAATCTTCAGACTGCCATGGGATCGTAAACCCTTCCCAGCACATTTGTGTAGAGAATTAATGTTATTGTGGAGTAATACAATGTCAGTATCTCGGAATTTATTGCTTGACGGGCAGGTGCTTTTCTTCAGGAATGGAGTGGTCAAAATTCTTGACAGCGGGTTGACCCTGATGGCTGCTTGAGATTGAAATAAACAAATAAGCGTCTAGTCAGTCACGCCCGGGCAGAATGTCGCTTCAATTGGCATAGCTTTGCTTGACCAGCCTCGAGCAGTTCATTGATATTTGTACATAGACACGGTGAGGGATCGTTCGTCAGTAAAATTAAAATGTGTTCAAATCATTATTTGGCCTGTCCACTGATTCTAGGGATCTAAGGCACGGCTGAGTTAGGTTCTACTCTGTGCCTGGACATATGGATCCCTGGGAATCAAAGGAAGTGAAATTAAATTCTCTTTTCAACGAAAAGTCTTGGATTAATATAAGAAATACGAGCGAAAAACAGCTGACCCATAGCGGATAGCTTTGGTATCGATAAATTATTTACCTCTATCTCAAGAGTTTTCGCGCTTTTTATGTTTTCCCGGGAGTGACTGTGGTCATTCGGAATTTCAGCCTTCCATCTGGACTGCCACTTCTGAGAACTATTCCTTCAAACTAAAAATCGTCGCACGATTCGTACCAACGGATCGTGTCCGTTATCCAGCACGAATCATCGCCAATCCAGGGCAGATGGTAAAACCTAACGGTGGGATAAACCACAGCAGCGAAGTCTGCCTACTATGTAGACATACGTGTGTGTTAATATAGAGTGTACCTTGGACGCCGAAGGTATTCCATGCTTGCTATGGGCTTGTGCACCACATGGATAGACTTTGATAGCGGCGACTACTGAATATCGTCTCCAAGGCTCCCTACGGGCCTGAGCATATTTTTGCATGAAAAACCTTGGTACGAGGAAAACTGACGAATTTTATCACATTACCGTCAACAATACAGCCCTCACCCTCATTTGGTAGTTTCTGTCAAATGAATGCTGCGTTTTGACAAACTGGCACAATATATCCCCATTTTCTCCATCATTTGGTACAGTAAATCGCCAGCCATTCAACTGGTGTGGTCTTTCCAGACGGCCTTCTGGTACGACTGTTGTTTAGACAAGACGCAAAATTATCGAGGTCGGTAACCGATCAGAAGTAGTCAAAACCTGTC